CTTTCTCCTCCAACCACTGCTGTAGTCTCTCTTCTTGTTTATTTTCTTTATCCTCCAACCACTGCTTTAGTCTCTCTTCTTGTTTATTTTCTTTATCCTCCAACCACTGCTTTTGGCAGCTCGAACAAAAAAGAAACAAGAAGAGAGACAACAGCTGCTGCAAGAAAACCTGCATCAGTGGCAGCTCGAACAACAAAATAAAAAAGAAGAGAGACAACAGCAGCTGCAAGAAAACCTGCAACAGTGGCAGCTCGAACAAGAAAAGAAACAAGAAGAAGAAACAAGAATGAAGACAACAGCAGTTGCAAGAAAACCTGCAACAGTGGCAGCTCGAACAGCAAAATAAACAAGAAGAGAAATTACAGCAGTTGTTGGAGGAAAAAGAAAAGAAACAAGAAGAGAGACAACAGCAGCTGCAAGAAAACCTGCAACAGTGGCAGCTCGAACAAGAAAAGAAACAAGAATGAAGACAACAGCAGTTTCACGAAAACCTGCAACAGTGGCAGCTCGATCAGCAAAATAAACAAGAAGAGAAATTACAGCAGTTGTTGGAGAAAAAAGAAAAGAAACAAGAAGAACGAGAAAAGAAACAAGAAGAAAGATTACAGAAGTGGGAAGAAAACCTACAACAATGGCAGCTCGAACAGCAAAATAAACAAGAAGAGAGACTAAAGCAGTGGTTGGAGGAGAAAGAAAATAAACAAGAAGAGAGACTCACGTGACTAGTGTCACGCCACGTTTCTAGAAATATCCTGTTCTTTCATGAATGCCCTAGCATTTACTAGATAGGGGGTAGTCTGATATATGTAAGATGATCACAACGTGACGACAACAGTGTAATGAGTAATTGAATGTATGTGGACAAAATATTGTTGGCCACGTGAGATATAGCGTTTGTTATAGCGCGACTGTTCAAAATAAGTGTATCGCAAAGTTGTATTCGGAAAGAATAAACCAGTTTTATTTAAGAAAGGACATGTGTCGCTAAAGTTTCGTCGGAACGAAGTTACGGAAAATTAATTAACAAACGGAGACGTAACAAATTGGTGTCAGAAGTGGAACGAAAAAAATTGGAAACGAGAGGCGGAAAATCAAACTACAGCTTAGCAGACTTGATGGCAGAAATACAAGATCAGCAAAAGAAACAAGAAGAGAGACAACAGCAGCTGCAAGAAAACCTGCAACAGCCAGTTAAATCGATTGGATGAATACAGAGTTAAGGTGGAAAAGATAACAGATAAAATATACATTTTATGGAGGTTTTAGAGAATATGCAAATGAAATTTCACACTTTTCAGGTGAAAAAAGTATTTTTAACTTTAACATGAAAATCATTTTGCACTCAGAGCAGTCAACATTCTGATTCCATATATTCATAGACAAAATTTTAGTAAAAATACGTAATTAACCCCATCGCCACAGGTATCCTTTACTGCGCATGACACAAGATATTTGTCTTACATTCAAAATTTTATTAAACTATTTTTTGTTTATGTTATACCAATCAGTATAGCATAAAATCTTAGCTAATTGTCTGTTGCGTCAGCGAGCTCTTTTATGGTAGTTACAGGGAAAAATTCTACAGGAGGTATGATCATGTGCATTACATAATTCAATATGGTAGCTTGAGAAACATGTTCTCCAAGTGATTTACAACTTGTGTGGTGGAATTACAAAGTAAACAAGGGTCAAAGGGGGATGGGAATTAAGTATAAACAGAAGTATACAGTTACAAGCTTTAAGCTACTTAGGATGAATAACTGTAATTTCCTCTTTACAATTTGCATTCATTCTAGAAAGAAAAAAGGGTATTTTAGATTTATTTAGTATATATTCACAAACTTCGCTAAATTTTTAAAGGCTCTTATTGCAGTTAGAAAGCCTGATATATTATGATAGTTATAGGACATTGTCTGCTACGTGCATGTTGCTATTCTGTGTTTTTAGGTGCATTATTTAATTAATTAAAAATTTAATGTATTAGTAAAACTAGTAAAAAAACTGGCTTAATTTTCATCAACAGTTGTTACCAAAAAAACAAGAGGACACAGGTAAGAACCACATTTCTTCTTTTTCATGTATATTCTTTATTTATTATTATAAAATTAACTAAAATGTAGAAACCTATTAGATTAAGTAGTATAATTTCTAGTGTGAAAATTCTTCTCACAATATACGCAAAATACACAATATATTGACAGAGAACAATGCAATACAATACATCATTTGATAGATTAGAACTTTGGATTTCTGTTGGTTATAAATAATATAGTACAAAACGTCAGGAAACTATTGGTAATTTGTGAAATAGAGGATGTGACAGATGGGCATGACAATTGGGTCTGATTTTCTAGTTTATAGCCTCGCAAACAAACACTGTTGAAAGCTATAAAAATTATACTTTGCCTTAGCAATATCTATATTATAATGAGTAATGTATGTTACATTTTGTACTTTTCAGAGGGGTGGTAAATAAGTTAGAAAATAGGGAACAATTAGATAACAAATATCACAATTCTCATACTAGAGGAGATTGAGGATTTGAAAAAACTTTTTCTTATAAAATTAAGAACTTTAAACTTATATAACATAAAAATCTCTTTTATAAAGTACATTTTGATGGCAAATTTATTCATATATAAGGATAATAAAGTTGTTTGATTAAATTTTGAATATAAAACTGCCAGTAGTTAGCAGTAACTTTTTTACTGTTATTTAATAATATTTTCTCAATGACATGTTTGTATAATATTATTAAAAGAATATTTCATACTTCCCCTTACATTTTTTTAACAATATTGTACAAACACTTTAAGGTTTATATTACCTATAAGTGTTTTTTATGTATTAACTAACAGTAGTTTGTATGTTTTAACTTGCATTAGTTTGTATACGTTAACTATATAGATGTTATTCTTGTGTGTTTTACAACATGTCCAGTTACATGATGTAGAACGAAACTTTGTGAGAATTGAAAAGGCTATGTACCAGTTATAAAGCACCAAATACTACCTATACACCAAAAGAAGAGATTACTTCAGTAAACTTTTTCAAATCTTGAGTGTAGAAAAGGGAAGAAATTGGATGGAGAAAACAGCAAGATGCACAAGAGCCTTTAGGACCTTGTGCCTTGTCATAGGAAATATGAAAAATTTATCATTAACAACTAGAAGTTAAAAAGGAAGAGAACTGCTAATTTTATATTCAATGATAGCCATTCAGAACTGAGAGTTGTTATTGGACACAAGTCACGAATAATATGGATTGAAGGTATTATTCCGTAAAATGAGTGTTAGCTACACACGACTTTTTATTTTATGTTCAGTACAAGAGTTTTATTTAGAGTATTTGGTGTGAATGTTAAAGTAAGTTTTTTCAGCAGTGACAGTTACGTCAAGTTTACTTACGTAACTGTTTAAGAATCATTTGTTGTGAATTGACATCATGTTACTCAAACCTTCTGAATTTTTTTCGTTGCGTTAAGCGAGTATTGTTACATCATAATGGCTCATAGTTTCTTGAAAGTTTTAGGACTCAGGCAGCCAATATATATATATATAACTTCACAGCCTTTTGATATCTTGATCCACTTTATCAGGTGACCGTGTTTTAACTTAATACATGGTAAGTTTTATCTTTTACCAAGTCTTAAACAAACATCAATAATGGATTTTATTTTTCAACCTTTCCATATCTTAATCAATCATGTGTTCTAGCTTAATACATTGAAAGCTTTATCTTTCATTAAGTACTAAATACTAATGACAGTACTCATTGTCAGGTTTTTGTATGTGCCAGGACTCTTTACAGTAGGTGTCTGTGACTTTTTGGTGATAAATTTCAACAACAAATGGACAGTAATCTACTTGTTTTAAAATAATATATTCAAAACAAGTCAACTGTATATACAAAAACTTATTACACTATTGGTTATAACAGTTGTATCCAGAGCATTAACCAATTGTCTCCTTTTCATCAAAGTCCACAGCGGGAGGTTCAATTATTGTCCCCTATCTCTGTTATTACAATAAAAGCTGGGAAACTCATTTTAGAAATCACCCACTGTGGCTAATCTGATACACACTTACTTTCACTAACTTGGTTGCCTATGTCAAACTTATTGAAATGTGATCAATGAATAATGAAATAACTAAAGCATGTGATTAATTTACTTTATCAAGTAAAGATGTATATGTCAACTATGCAGTACAAAGAGTGTGATGAAGATCTACAGTTTCTACATTTAATTTTTGGTAAAAGGTATGAACTGATAATATTATTTTCAAAATAAATAAAAACACATACCTCTAAAACAAACAACAGCTGTGTCTGTGATATCAAACACTTATAACTGACTACACTTTCATTTTGCTCCCTATTTCTAATCTTGTTCACTATATTTATGCCTAAAGAACACTGTTCTGCAGAATTAATGCTCTTATTTTATTTGAATCCCAATACTTGTTATAAGAATCTTTACTCTTATGTTCTTTTTTCCTGCTCTAAGTAAACTTCTGTTTACACACACACTTTGTGGGACTTTAAGATTTGTTGTGTTGTCTCACAGTTTGTTTCAAGTGTTCTTTGAAAAATTGTTTATATAATGAATATTTCATATGAATGGTTAGATATTAAGGACTTTTTATCAGTCTCGCTATGATATTACCTCAGACAAGCTAATGAAAACTCTGATTTAGTGTATGTATATAACTACTATTATATTTCATTTTATACCCAAAAATTTAAACATAAAAAGTGAGCTACTTAATGTCTGATGCACCATAATGGATATAAAAATAGTTAAAAGTTGTGTCACTCAAACATCAGAAGGTTTAACAAGTCACAGTGAAATTACAAGATCTATGATTTCTAACAGATCTTTCTCTACTGTTACTATAATAGCATTTCAATTAGCACTATGATAATGTCATATAAACTACTGACCAGTAGATTATGCTTTTCTGGCATAAGGTGTTATGTACCACAATAATGTAAAATGCTGTTTCGTTCATATTTCCTTTACATAGTTGTTTTCCATTAACTTTCATTGTAACATCCCACACAGTTACTGTACTGTAATGTCTGCTATAATGTTTTTAAAGTGAGATTCCAGACCATAGTAAAGACTATGTAGAACATTATTTGACTGGAGAAACTGAAGTGTTACCATTTTGCAGAAAAACAGGTACTGGTACATGTCTTATAAGTATATATATTGTGGTGACAAATTAAATTTATTTTACCTTGATTACATATTTTTGCAGCTTGAGGGAGTTGTGAAATGAAATTGCTCTGTTCACACCAGTTTAAAATGTCTCAGCTGAGCCACTGCTGAGAATTTAAAGGACTCTTTTTTTTAAATGGAAACTTGATGCTTTGTGACCACACTTGTGAAGGAGCTGTTGGTTAATTTTAATCTTATTTTTTCTCATAAGGATCCTTAACATTTCAAGTGCCACTGTCCATGTTTAAGGAAGACCAAATTGACTTCTTGATGGAGCTGTTGATGGAAGTTTATTGCAAGAAAAATCCAGTGGTATGAAACATGAATATTTTCTACAACTTTTCATTTTCTTAAACTTTGTTACAATATAACTTTAATGTCAATTATTCACGAGTTTAGTAACTCACGTTTTTTTAAATTTTAATTGGACTTTATTATATTACACTTATCAAGGTTTAGTAGTACTTTCAAATTCTCAAAATAAGTAACATTCAAAAGTGTGTCAGTGATGATAAAGATTGAAGATAAAATACAAATTCAAAACTGTTGAAACAAGCAATATGGTCAGTGCTTTTTCATGCAACTTTGTTATGTATATCAATACCTGATAAATAATAGTGACGAGCCTGTGCAATTTTGAATATCGAAACAATGTACTTGGATCAAATGATTTTCATATCATGTGTAATAGCAACTAAGGCTGGATCAGTTTTTCAAAAGTAATATCATGGAAATAAGATTCAGTTTTTGCCATGTCCTATCACAATCTTTGCTGCAGCATTTAAGCAACCTATTGTTAAGTTTGTATAACTAGTTTATATCTTAAGAAATGTGATAGAGTTGTAAGGTTTCTACATTTTATATGCAAGCTACCTTATTTATGTATGTTGTAAAATGTATTCATGATTTTGATAATCAGAATTGTTTTCAGAAAACTATCGACTACGTTCTGAAAGTCTTGCTTCCAATGACATTAATCAAAGTTCACATGGAAATTACAGGAAAAAGCTATGAAGAAAGTGATAAGATTATGTATGATCAAATGTTTGATGTTCTGTCTGAGAACGATACCCAAAATTGAGAACTTACTGTGAGATTTACAGTTATGTCATAGTTTCAAGATATTTCAACTGTCAATTTTAGAATTATGTCATTGTTTTAAGGTATTCCAACTGTCAGTTTTAGTGAAAAAGGATTTGTCACCTTTTTTTGTAGTTGCTTGGAATTGTATTACTCATATAAAGAGAATCACTTTAATTATACCAGTTATTTAGTATTATGTTTTACTTTTAAGATACAATGTAGCAAATTTAAATGCCATAAATCTTCTGTTTCAGTCATGACATTAAGATAATGCCAGTACACAAGTGATTAAAAATATATAGTAAAAATATTTCAATTTAATTTCATATGTTCTGTAAAAAGTCAGATAATTTTTATTTTGTCAAATTGGAATTGGATATTTGTTTTAATATATTTAATCAGTATATAGCAAATATAGTTAATTTTTTATAAGTTTAAATAAAACATTTCATTTTATTTAATTATTTATTTTTTTTGGATCCCAAAGTTACTGAAGGTGAAAAATATTTACCATTTATTTTTAAACTGTCATATTATACCTTGTATATCTAAATCTTACTTCTCAATATCTGTTGTTAAAGCAAGTAGACAAGTTTGAAACATTTAGTAATATTGTTTGTGGGTTTTGTTGTGTTGATGAAGTAAATACATTATTGTCTAATTTTAATTAAAATGCTTGTTGTATTTTTTCTTTAAGATATCTTGAAAATTCCTGGAACAAGGTATTAAACATGTCATTTTTAAGGAATATAAAGAAGTAGGCCTAGTCATGATTATTTTTGCCTGGATAATTTGAAAATCACTAACTTCAGTAAAACTAATAATTTTATATAGAAACACTGTTAATTTTACTTTATTTTGAAAGGTGAATGCATGTCACAACCTCCAAAATTTAATTTTTTTTTTTTTGCCTAAACTCATAATATATTGAATCTAAAATTTTTGTCAATTTCCTTGTAAAGTAAAAATTCTGTTATCATTCATTGCACTTTTCACTTATACATTTTATATCTAGATGTCCAAACTAAGTCCACCAAAAAACAGTTTGTTTTACAAGCAACAGAAAATTTGTATCATATTTCTTAGGTAATTTATTTTCATGGGGGATGATTCTGTTGGAAAAGTATATAGTTTTTGACTCTTAAAAGTAATATGGTATATGCAGAAACACAAACTCATGTAAATACTTACTTGTTTAGTTTTCTGTATAAAATTCTCTGCTGTATGTACACTTTATATATTGAATGAATTACTAAGACACTGTGTTCTCTGCACACAATGGATATGTGGCCGATGTGTTTGAATGCCTTATAAGTTTGGAATATGGGACGTGCCAATGTATTTTGAAGTTCAAGTATTCAAGTAATAGATTAATATTTAGCAGCCAGTTTTACCCTCGGTTTCTTTGACTCGTAATGGATTTAGGTGAAAGTTTATGGGAGGAAATGCTTTAGACTATATTTGATAATTATTAATTTTTGATGGTCCATTGGCTCCTTCAGTTGTAACAAATTAGCCAACTCTAACAGCTGTTATAGTGCACTGTTACTCTAAGCTGTGCACTATGAGAATGAGAATTGTATGCAAATTCAGCAGAGACAGCTCATTACTAGTTCAAAGTATGAATATAAATGTGACTGCATAGGCTTTCAAAGTTCAAAACCAAAAAATGTTATGACATTGCTGTTCCAGCTTTGTGTTTGCATGGTTTTCTCATTGAGGTTGCATCGCCTCTTCCTCTGGCTCTTCATAAACAACCAGGGATGTTTTGAGGTTGCTTCCTGCTGCTGCTTTTACCATAACTGTCCCATTCTCCTCATTCAATCCAGTGTTATTTCATTGTCTGAATATGTCCTCTTTTTTTGGTCACTTTTACTACTTGTGGACAAGCAAGATTGTGCAAAATGACTAACATTTCACATTCTTGCAGGTATTCCAATAATACTACAGCTAGTGGGGGTGGAGCATACCTGCAATCGACTGAGAATGTAACTTCATATCTGAACATTATTATGTGTGAAGAATAGCCAGCAGATTGCTGCTTTGTTGCACAGTATGGCATCATTGCATGTGATTGGTGATCATTCCATTTGGCTCACAAAGCAGACACATCATAGTTTGCATTAATCACTCAGCCAAACCATCAAAGTGAGGATGATGAAGTGAAGTATGAATCTTTACTACACCAAGTAACTTACATAACTTGGCAAACAGCTGACTGTTAAAGTTTGTTCCTTGATCAGTATGCATCTCTGTTGGTCTAAAACAAGCTATTGATTATTCAGTGAATGTGTTAGCAGCTGTTAGGGTTCTATGTATATAGATGCAATGAGTATATAATAATTACCAGTGTCAATTATTGAGAGGGGTTTCACTATATCCAGGGCTATTCTCTGGAATAAAGAACATACAGTTTGTTGAGTTATCCTGGTATACTTGGTTCATTGTCTGAAGAACATAGTAAGTACAGTATAGCCATCTCTACAGGCTAGCTGAATGGGATATATAGTGTAGTGTTGTTTATTGTGTAAAATTTGGATAATCTTCATTCTTCGGATTACTAGATGTATCGGAGGTCAGGCAATGCTCTTGCATGGGATGTCACTAATGGGTTTCTCAATGTACAACTTTTAGTATTCGTCGTGTTACCTAGTTGATTTTAACTGTATGGTTGGTATGTTGCCAGTGGTGTTGGTGATTGTTATATGCCTTTGGTGTCTGTGGGGGCTTCACCACCATTATCTACCTATCCTGTAGGGTTTGGTTGGTATGTTGCCAGTGGTGTTGGTGATTGTTATATGCCTTTGGTGTCTGTGGGGGGCTTCACCACCATTATCTACCTATCCTGTAGGGTTCGGTTGGTATGTTGCCAGTGGTGTTGGTGGTTGTTATATGCCTTTGGTGTCTGTGGGGGGCTTCACCACCATTATCTACTTATCCTGTAGGGTTTCCTTCTCCTGCAGATCCTTGGATTTTGGAACTTAGTTCTATGGCTGTTGGAGTTTGGTGGATCTGGGTGTAGAGAGAGTAGTGCTAGTTCTTCTGGGGCTTTATTTTTGTCAGTTGTTTGGCCTATGAAGACGGGAGACTGGTGTCCAGTCATTGACCTTTCTCGTCTATATCAATGCCTAGATTCTCCAAGGTTCACAAGTGACTCGTTCCTCAATCTGAGTTGGCATTTTTTACTAAGATTGTGGTTGTTCTGCCACTATCAGCACTTTTTTGTACACAAGGGTCAGGTACTGCAGGTCAGAGTTTTTATCTTCAGAATAGCATTGGCACCATATGGATTTTTGCCGAATCATACAAGCTTTTTCTCGTCACCTTCATTTCCTAGCCCTGTGCCCTCACTATTCAATGGACGACTGGTTACTGCTGACACTATCTCATCAATTTTCAGAACATCACACCCAGATTCTACTTTAATTAAAAACCAAGGCAGGCTTCATTCTTAGAGCTGAGGCATCTATACTTGCTCCAACTCAATATGTCGTCAGTCTGGGTATTGTTTTCCATCACATATCTCAGTTGGGCTCAGCCATCTACCATCTGGCTCAACGCAATGGAACAGGAAGCCTGACTCTTACTCCTCTCTCCTTCTCCCACTATACAGATGGTTCTTTCTCTTTTGGGAATGTGGGCATTACTCAAATCACTCATGCCTTTGGGACAAGTACACAAGGGATCATAAACATTGATTGACTGGATTCCTCAGTTTCCTTATTCAGGTTCATTCTTTGATCTTGAGGTGATGTTAAGTTGGGAAACTACTAAGATATGGGATCCTCTACTGCCACCACGTCCAGAAATCCATCTCTTCACAAGTTCCTAGCTTCAGGGATGGGGTGCATATCCCAACAGTCAGAAATTTCAGGGTCTATGCATGGACAATGCTTACCCTCCCAACATTTTAGTCCTTCTTGCTCTTGAAAAGGCAATGCCTCATGGTCTGAGATTATTAAGGGGAACAGACTTCACTCTGACAATTCTAGGGTGGTGTCTGGCATTACCTGTCAAGGGGACACTTGGACGAGGGATCCTTGTTTTTGAATCTTGGATCTTCTTTCTCGGGACGACTCCTATCATATCTCCCTACTAGCTTGCCATGTTCCACAGATGAGGACTGCAGTAGCAGATCAATTGTCTCAACCCAAACAGATTCTCCCAGCAGAATAGATGCTGCATCGCAAGGTTCTGTTGGACTGGCTCTCATTTTGAAACCCTGATGATTGGTGTGTTGGCCACTCATTGGAACATGTAACTACTGGCAACTTGGCATCCAGTACATCAACCTTGGGCTTTAACAATGGATGCATTCCATCAGGATGGGATGGGATTATAACTCTAGGACTTCACTCCAATTTACATGTTACCCAAGTTGCAGTTGGGTTGAGCGTGGCCTTTTTTTTGATCAATATTGGTTCAGTACAATGTTAATGGAAGAGGGTTCATTGTCTTCTTGTAATTCTGAATATAGAATGGTCCCATCCTGGGTCTTTGGTTAAGTACAGTTTGTTCCATGTCCTCACCATATTTCCGAGGGGAAAGTGTAATTTACCTTGCCCACACAGTTAGGGAGTGGGGATGAATGTTCATAATTCCAGACTGGATGAGTTCTGTTTTGTCAGGTTGAGTAGAGCATACAAGATCCTGTCATTCTGAGCCTGGGATGTTGACTTTTAGATTTCTTCAGGTTGAGGAGAAGGTTTGTCCACTTGTGTGTTGCTTACCTTATCCTGATTCTGGTGGCTCGGAACTCATCACTGTATAACTAGAAGCTGGTATCCACTCCCAAATATATATTGTGGTCCAAATGCCCTAGCTACCAATGTGGTATTTAGGAATCATGGCCCTATATTTCCAACCCAGAGCAGTGGGACCTTGGCTATCTGGTTGTGGCCTGGCCTATAGTGACAATGGATTACGTCAAATACCACCCAACTTGCACGATTTATGTTCTGGGTGAAGAGCATAACTATTCTGAATGTAGTGAAGTTCCTCCACTAGGGTGCTATTTTCATATTGACACACACACACATCTTACATTCTAGTTATAATTCCTGTAACTCGGAATGCATTACTCTATGGCTACAGGTTGGGATCCACTCTGTAGTATATATATATATCTTGTGGTCCAATTCCCCTAGCCATCAACGTGTGATATAGGGACCATGGACCTAAAATGCCAACCCAGAGCAGTAGAACCTTGAATTTCTGATTGGGGTCTGGCAAGTAGTGATGATGAATCATAAAGTTCCACCCACTGTACATGAATTAAATTCTGGGTGAAGAGCATACCTGTTCTGGACATAGTGCTGTTCCCCTACTACGGTGCCAATA